TAACCAGTGTCATAAAACAATATGTGTACTACTGTTTCATGAGAAACTATTTGTTCTGTAAGCCTTCACCTGAAGTACAATAAAAAAATAATAAAATATGCAAGTGAAAAAAAAAAAGAAACCTCAAGTTTCTCCCCTGCTAGGTAGAAAATTCTCATGTAACAACCAGAGAGCTCAGCAAATTCTTGGGATTAAGTTCACCACCTGACCCCCCTGCCAATGACAGAACAGGTCTGGAGAAGCAATTCCTCCAGGGAGGCCCCTACTCAGGAAGCAAAATGTCCTACATGCTGCCTAGGAAATCAACAGCTCAAACCACATAACTAGATCAAGACATTTCAACCAAGCAACTCTAGAGCATTTCAGATATTTGAAGTCAACCTGTGCATGACTAAGCTCTAAGCTCGCTGAACAGGGTGGTGGACCAGGGGGCCCAGAGGACACTTACTGTGTGTGATGTGCTCGAGGAGAGTGCTGCGTGCGCAGAGGAAAGGCTGCTCTGATGGCTGGAGAGTGAACTAGAAGACAAAACAGAGCCACGTGTCCACCTGAACAAGTTCCTCCACAGAGCCAAGTGGGCTAGAGCCAAGTTTGGCCCCATCCCCAGGAAGTGCCGGCTTCAAACCCATCATTCCTCATCCCCTCAGACCCCAGTGATAGGGTCCGGGTGGTTAGAAATGACCTAAAAGGTCACTCGCCACGAGAAACTGGTACGTCTTGACCAGGGAAACCTCCAGAGCCAACTTCAGTCAACTAAAACCATTTGCTCTTTAAGCTGTAAAAAGTAAAAACAGGATTGTACTAAGAATACTACCAGCCTTGGATACCCCATTACATCTGTGAGAGAGGGAAATAGCCTCCTACGTTCAACCCCACGTGCCAGAACCAGAGCCTGAATTCCTATCAAACTCAGAATTCAAATGAATACCTCTGGCTGAAGGGGGGAGGGAGAGACTATACTCAGATGACATAGGGACCAAACAAAACCCATTTTCCTACACCTTGCTTTAATAACTTAACCTCTGAAGCCAGACAAGTGCAAGCCAGACACCTGCTTAGAAATTCCACATCACTCTCACTCCACATCACAGTGACATGGCCCAGGGCTGGGAGGAGAGGCTAAGCTCAGGGCACCCTCCTAAGGGTCCAAGAGGAGTAGCAGGCACTCCCTGGCCCTTTCTCATTCCCAGGGCACCCCGTGTTCTGTGCCAGCAGAGGCATTAGAGCAGACAAGGTTTTCACATCTGGTGGTTTTGATGTGAAAGGCCAAAACCTAAGCAAAAGGCCAGTACATGATGCTGGGAGCAACAAATGTGTTCTGTTCGTGGGAACAACCTTCCATACCTGCTAAGCTGAGAGAGGGAGCCGCTGGATAGGTCACCAGACTGGGACAAGGAGGGCAAAGTGGCAGTGTGCTGGGATGCGGAGGATAGCAGCGTAGTGCAGGAGGTGGTGCTGGGCAGGGAGGCTGCAGATGGCAGGGCGGACGGAGTGTCTGTTGTCTTTGGAGCTGGAACAGATGAAGTAGCTGCAAGAAACAGATCTGATTAGCTCCAGAGCCAATCCTGAGTATCTGAAACAAGCTCAACATCATCCTGTGACATGTCAGGCTCAGGTGAAACAGAGAAAGTTCTAGTCTCCAGAGAAAAGCCCGAGCATGTACCAGATATCCCCTTCTCTGTCAGGACCACCATGAAGACCCTCACTGGACAGACGTGCTGCAGGACCCAAGCAAAGAATGGGAAATGATGCCTTTATAACCATAAACTAGTAGTGCTGTCCTATGATGTGGACATCCTTTTACCACCTAAAGGAAACTGCCCTTTAGCAGCACCCAGAGAGGGGAAGAGGCTCTGAGACCGATATGTACGATTATAAGGTGAGGCAAACTTTTCTTAAAGGGCACAAGTAAGGTACAATGAAAAGCTGGTGGGCAAGACTACCCAAAGGTTAGGTCTTTGCATCTATCAAATCAGTATCAAATCAGGCTGACACTGCCTACGGTCATAGTAAGTTTAAGGCAGGTGGGGGTTGAAAGTCCAGAGTACATGTGGAGAAATACACATGCTGAAAATCTGCAAAAAGAACATATGCCTGCTGGCCAGCACATACTTTCAAATGCACAGAGCAAGAATTTTCTTGGTATGTGCTTCAAAGAATAACCTCAGAGCACATAACGAGCTTAGAGCTTCAGAAAGGCCATTCACTCCTAGCTGTGGAAAAGACTCAGTTTTAGGGCTGTCCACACATACAGCTCAGATATGTGCTTGGAAATATAACATCACTGTCTTTTCCAATTAGGAAGGAGGACCAACCTTTACCCCTCAAACTGGGAAACACTCTATCCTCTCAAAGCTTTTTGTCTGAAGGAAGGGGAGTGTAAAATGAACACAGTCACAGAGTCAACACACAACTAAATCAATTCTTACAGTGGTCTTTACATTCATGAAGCCTTCTTTTCACTGAGAATCCATTACACGTACAAAACCTGTTCTTACAGAGAACCCAGATGAGGACCCTGTGGATGTCCCTGACCCAAAACTCAGACCCTACAAGTTACCTGCCTGGGCCTTGGATCACATTGATAACAGGTTCATGGTAAGCCTCTCAGAGAAGACAGTCTATAAAATAAAAAAAATCTAAAATGTATACTATGTTTTCTAGGTAGTTCACATTTCATTATCTCATTTGAAATGTCCAAACAATCTACAGCATCTGTACATGCTTGACCCCAGTCAATCAGCTCCTGTGTCTGGATGAAAGAAACCCGCCACCGCTCTGCTGGAGTGAGAAGTTCCTCTGTCATCCAATGAGCTCACAGCTACCAGCCAAGGTCTCTCCCAACAGGCCTGACAGACCCAGAAGTATCATCAATACCAAAAGTGGACACCAATCTGTCTTGCTGAATGATGAAAGAAAATCAACACCAAAAATCACCGACAAGCCAACCAAATACAAAAAAACACCTGCACTACCTCCAGTGATCACTGAGCTGAGCTGCTACAGAATGGGGTGGGGTGGGGGTAGTCCTCGTCATTTTCTCCCAAGGGCCCATAGTGAGCATTTTCTCTCTTCCTGGCAACAGCCCTTCAGATAATGAAAGCGATACGCACGTCTTTCCTGAACTAGCACACCAATATTTCCTGTAAGAGTTCTTCATATTATTGGTGTTAGAGTTCTTTCACCATCTTAGAACCTGTGCCTCTGAGCCAAATGTCTTTAAAATCCATACTACACACTACATGTAGGGTGCAGTCAGACTACGGCACAAGAGTTCAAGACTATCACCTCCCTTTCACTGTGGCTATGACATTTCTAATAATACCTGTCACATGGGAATCTCTAGTTACCTTCTTAACTCTGCCACAGAAACAGAGTTGGTTTCTCTTAACCAGCGAACCTGGCTTCTCTCTGTTGCAATAATGAATAAGAAGCAGTTTCAGAAAAAAATGCAAAACAACTATTTTTGCAGAATTGGGCATTGGCCAATTTGTGTTTTCCCCATCACATTAGCTATGCTCTCTCTTTCTTTGGCTTCCACAAGCCATGATAAGAATAGTTAGCTTATATACTTACTGTCTAGGGTCTGCTGACCTCGACCACCACCATGTCCATTCTATAAGGAACAGAAAAGAAAGTAAGTAAACCACAAAATCAAATGACACTCTAGGTAACTTTCTATTGGGATTTAGCAACAAACATATGAAGTAAATGTGGCCTGCTGCATTTTTCTAATAAAAGGAGAAGCAATACACCTCTTCATAAATCCCAAGGAGCTGACATATTTTAAAACCAGATTTGGGTATTTAGAGAAGTAACAGGGACACAACATAAGACCCAAATCACAGAAAGCAAAGAAATAGTACCAAAACAATTTTTAAAAAGTCAAACTATTCAAAGAACTTAGAAAGCTTTACTATATTTAAGTCACCAGACACCTTCCTGTCCGTGGAAGTACTGCTTCATGAGTACTACTCACACAAGAAAGAAAATGTTTCCAAAATTAAAACAAGGATAACTTCCATACCAGGAATGATCATCTTTTACACCACTAGCAAAATGGTTCTCAGAGAAAAAGCGATGTTACTTTAAAACATGGCTTCTCTGAACTGGGAAGGTGAAGAGCAGGTGCGGACAGTGTGGTACAGCCCCAAAGAGGAACAGCTGAAAACAGCTGGTGGGAGTAAACATCAGGTATTTTACACAAGAAGGCATTCTCACTCAAAGCCACACTCCACGCACAGACTGAGCAAGGAGACGCCTAGAGGTGATTGATGGCAGGGCCTACGAGGCTCAGACACTGTCCCAAGATAACAGGAGGAGCATGCTACAGAAGGAAAAGAGCTAAAACAGATTTTGTTCTTCCAAGTATCAAAACTACTAAAGAAAAAGAGATCGTACACCTGTTGCCTGTATGTTAACGCAAATTCAGTACAATTTCTGCTCATAAAATGTTATACTTATTTACAATACACCTTATTCTAAAAACAATTTGAGATTATTTACAAGAAATATAGATAATAAAACAGAACTACTAGAAAAAACCCACATAACCTAAAATAAAAGGTTAAGATCAGGGAAAGGGATCCAAACATATAAGGACGGGTGGCAACTAAAGTTGTGGCCTCATGCCTCTCCCTAAACTAGGATTCACTATTTGCTGAACACACATACATGACATCGAGCATCCTAAACAGCACAAACCCTGTCACAGAAATAAGTCCCCTCCAACTGCACCAGATAAAAAGGAGAGAAAAGGGGAACAGGTAATAGCAGCCATTATACCTTAGGAATATTTAATTCCACCTTGACAATCATTTTTAAAACACACACAATGAACAAACCGACACAACACAGGATCTACATTATCTGGGGTGGGAAAATTCTATTTAGAAGAATGGCAGGAGCAAAAGCAAAGAAGTATCAGAAGGTCAGAAGAGATTAGAAATATGCAGCGTAGTAGTTCAACTAGCTGAGCAAGGCATGAGGTAGGCAGCGATATGTGCAAGCAGAGTCACAGGTAAAGTTAAAACTGGAATTGAGATGTCCTGGAGATGAACAAAATTTAAGCTTGGACAGCACGTCTGATTTTTATTTTAGAAACAGCACCAACAAGTACTGTCTAAGAGAACTTTCTGCAATAATGGAAATATTCTATATCTGCATGGTTCCATATTGTAGCCATTAACCATATGTGGCTACTGAACATTTAAAATGTGGCTAGTGTGCCTGAGGAACTGAATTTTTAATGATTTAATTTTAATTAAGTTTAAATAGCCACACAGAGCTGTGATTACTACATTGAAAAGTACAGGAATAAATTTCTTGTTAAAGATGACAAATCAAGAATACATGGCTTTTTTAAAACATGCAAATCCAGAAAGACAAATAACAGCTGAAAAAATAAAAGCCAGAAAACTGTACAGACTAGAAAGCATACAGAGGATGGTAACTGACTTAGCTGATCCAGAAAAGCCAAACCCTAAACCAGTAGTTAAAGAAAGCAGTAAACAATCCAATTTATATTAAAGAGCTAAATGAACCAACTCATCATCTGTAACACCCATCTGACTTTAGAAGCAGAGTAGAGGTGGGCTCAAAGTAAGACAGTTTGTTTAAAGTCTGCACAGCAGGGTGACTGCCCCCTCCCACCTCATCCCATAGGCTCTTAACATCATTGAGAGGATAACACAGGGTCAAGGGTACTGTGAAAAAAAAACCAAAACAGATGGATTAAGTTACTGTAGACAAAATGAATGTTGTGACCCCAGCCTTCTTCTCCCATCAGGCTCCCAGAGACAAGCATATGCCCTACAGGAAAGAGACAGAAGACTATTCCCTAGGGAATCTAATGGTGAAGACCTCAAGGGTCTAAAATAAGACTTCCCACCCCCCAAAAAATGGCTCACCCAGACTGCCCCACATCAAAGCCCCTGGTCAACAAAAGCCAAATCCTCCACTGGTCAGAGCTAAGTTAACTTTTTAGTGGTAATCTCTTCAATTAAAGTAAGGCAGCCAAGACAACCAGACATTTGAGGAAAACATTTAACATAAAATACAGAAAACAAAAGAAAGGAAAAAATCAACTCGGAAGGAAGACACTATGAAGGAAGAAGAGGAAAATAAACTTTCATTAACATCTTCAAAGGCATGAGGCCAGAGGTATTGCAGAACGCAACAATAAGATATCATAAAAAAATAAGTTTTGGAGAATGAAAAAATTCTTAGAAGTTAAAAATATGGTAACAAAAATGAAAATTTTCAAAGAAACATAAAATTCAAAAAAATCTTCCAGAACAGAAAGGGACAGCTAGGAGAGAAAAGAAAAAAAGAGAGGGTAAGTCCGGGAGGTCCAACACTACCTGAGAGACTAAAAAGGACTAGGTAAAAATATCAACAAATTAAGAATATTCCCAAAAACTAAAATCATGGTTTCTGAATAGACAGGGCCACTTCGACTTCCAGTAATGGTGAAGTGAAGTAGTCAGGTGAACCTCCCAGCTGTTAATAATGATAACATCTCAACAATATATACTAAAAAAAATAACTGGCTGGCCGAGTAAGTAAAGCACTACTGAAGAGTAAGAATAAAGTTAGAGGACTCACACTACCTGACTTCAGAACCTACTATACAGCTACAGTAGTCAAAACAGCCTGGTACTGGTACAA